AGTAGTCGAAAGGGGAATCATCCTCGGTTACTGAACGGGCACTGCGGCTTCCGAGCCATAGCCATATCAATAGGCGAGTCACAGGACGAATGGCTAAGTATACGTCAACGGATGGCTGATACAGTCACAAATATGGCCGACGACCGCCCCTTACCTGAGAATCGAGCGGATGCAATGGCTCGTCTTGTCACAAACAAACCCAACATTGTCTCCGAACAACAGCATTGGCTTAGCATGCCAAGTTGGGGCGGGATCATCGCAAATACTTTCAATTGGCCTGTGTTTTACTATGAACCTGGCGCCTATAGTCAGTTAGTTTTTCTTTACTCAACACCTCACAATCTGAACCCTCCCATTGCGCTCGCCTGGGCCGATCAGCACTTTGCCTCTCTATTACTCGATTTCACACGGACCAACTTCCCCGCTCCACGTGTATGTGCAACTTGGCGACGCTTTCATAAAACCGAGGCCTCAAGTTGGTTGGATACATGGAGACCTCTAATATATTCTCATGCGGTGTTTATCAAGGATCTTAATAAAAGTAAATCTCGCTCCAAAAGAAAAGGTCGAGCTTGTATTCACATTGACTGAGAGTGATTGTAACACATGTGATATCTCAACATCCCCTTCTTTTGTCTCTGTATGTTTTAACTTGTTCCATCTGCTGTAACTATGCTCTCAGGCACTCCGATTTGAATTCAAATCGGAGTGCCTCATTATTATGTAGAACACCCAATGAATGATTGCATGTAGGTCTATGATTGGTGAATCAGTTTAACAATATAAATTAAATTACATATCAACCTAAATTTAATATATATCTGACCCAGGAGAGAAGTTCGCCCATACTTCCAAAAAGTGTCTTGATTCAGTGACGAGAGTCATAGTTTGTTACAATGCTCAGTGAGCAAGCAAAATGTCTAACAGACATATGGGTGATGCATGTGTGAACATCAAAACCCAGTTTTTGTTTTCAAAAACTGGTACACAAAGAGAGTCACATTTGTACATGTGTGTAGGATGGTAAAAATACCAGCGCATCAACTGCCAAAAGCGTGATATTTGACATCTCATAAATAACTGGAAGATAATTTCTGGTTATCATTTCATATTTCTTCAAAGACTTCTTTCTACATGGATTAAGACAAATGTTAGAATTCAAGCACCGGGGCGCTTAAGCTACATTAAGCTACACAATCTCTGCAGTCTCAAATTATCCAAGGGCCACCTCCCAGTCAATATGAATACCCTCATCTTCCTCTAACTCAAGTATGCGTTGATACTCTGCCTCTTCATCTGCGTATTTGGTACCCAGCGAATTGGAAGCATACATAGGTCTATCGGAGCTCCTGTCGTACGCGCGATCATTTGCTGCCACCCCAAAAGTAAGGCATTGTCCGCTTCCACCCTTCCATTTACGTAGTCGTTGGTTGATTCCACAACCTCTCTCAAGGCCCTATCCCAATGTTTCCATAGCCGAAAGGTGCGTTTAGCCAGCCCCGAGTGGATAGAGTTCCACTCTGCTACTCGCCCACCACCTGCAAAAACACACATCAGTAATACAGAATGGTCGTATTGGTAAGTAAGGTGGGACTTGCCATTAACGGCTTCATGTGGCCTTATCCTATCAACACGAGCTTGATAGTCAAGCGCCCAACCCATGACCTGCCTGACCTCACGCCCCAGACGCCTCAGTTCTTCTTCAGACGACAATTGATTTCGAAACGCTACGATGCCTTCCTTTGTCCTCTCACATGAAGCCCATGGCTCTTCAAGGTGGTCAAGCGCTACGTCATCCCAAAAAGGGTCTAGCAGATCCATAGCCAAGACTTCTTCCAAAGTCGGTGTCGCTAGTCGCGGCGTTGGTCGATGATGCCTATTGTATTTAGAAGCTTGCCTCAAGTACGTATCCAGTTTCTTCTTCAGCAGTGTGTGTTTCTTCTTTCGTAGTTGTTCATTACGTGGCTGCTGGGTTGCACCTGCAGCAAGCGTGAATTTAGTGGTTTTGTTCAATGTCAAGCTGTCATGTTATAATTATGTAAACATGTGAAGTACGGACCGGTTCTGATCGCTGCATTAGCCTTCTGTTGGATCACATCTACAGCGGCCTCGTATAAGAATCCTAACGACACCTGGACACTAAGAATAGCCTTCACTCTTACACCTTTACGTAAGGAACGGTCAGCATGGTAATCAAGCAAATGAAAAATACGTTGATCTTAACGACACTTACTCGTGCTTCGCCGAGCATTCACAAGTTCTGCACTTCCAAGTTCGTCCGCCACGGCTTGAATCTGAGCTTCGAGAGCAACCAGTGATGCTGGCAGATCCAGCAGTGCATCGCGCTGTTCAGCCGTTCGTATCGCATCATTCACTGCATTCATATCAACCATCCTCCGACTGAAACGAATACTATCATAAGTTATACATTTGGCTTATTTGGGGAGGTGAGGGAACAATCCTTGCCGTGCTTCTAGCAGCTCCTCCTCAAGTGTGAGCAGAACTCCTAGCCGTTCTCGTTTCTCTTTTGCCTCGACACTCATTGCTTTCAGCTGCAATGCACGCTGACGATCCCACTGCAACTGAAAGTACTCCGCCGTATGTGTCGGGTTTTGCTGATGTAGCTTTGCCAGCGTCCGTTTGCTGTCAACCAGCTCGGCTTGGTATTTTCGGGTTTGCCCACGCATAAAAGTCACTGTAGGGCGTATTCCCAGCGTGCTCATTAGTCTTAGACTTTGACCCTCATCAGATTGGCCTCATAATAATTTCAACTCACCAGCTTTCCATCGCAATTCTTCATTGCGATGATGACACCACAGATCCAGACTGACCATCCGGCGATGCTTAGTCGCATAGCGAAGCAGTCTTATCAGAGGCGATATTTTGAACCACACACGCTCTAGGCCCTCTCCATTACTTTTTCCCCAACCTCGATTGAGTCAAGGATTGTATTCCAGCTGACAGGACCAATTATGAGCGTAGGCGTGAAATAGAGCTGTTCCCAATTTGACCTGCTTAGCATAATTGGGATCGGTGAACACTGCTTTCTAATAGGCGGGGATATCAGTAGCAGTCAGGTCAGCCAATTATTAAATGTGAGTGCTGGGCGGCGTACCTTCTTGATAGTTTTGTCCAGGTTACAGCCTATATCATATAGGATACCTACAGTCTTCGTCCCATCCCGGTCGTTCTTAAGCAATTCTAGCAACCACTCTATCAGTGCTAGTGCATTATAGTTCCTGAATTACAATACACGGTCAGTTCAAGCTAAACCCCTTATGATGGGCAAGTGCAACCTGCTTTTCGCCACTTTGAATCAGATTGATAAACTTAAGGACATTGTCATGTTGACATGCCATACCCAGCAAACGGGATTCATCCATATTCTTGAAATGTCCTCGTCCTCTCACATCTTTAGCTGCGGTGTGAGCTTCTGTGCATGGGTCCTATAAAGATAAACCAGATATGGCCCGTGAGTATCTGTCAGGCCAACTGAAATTGTCAACGAATTTAACTTACACTGTCAATTGGTACATCAGGGGTTTGACTCATGAAATGTTCCTTCGCATGGACCAACTTTGGATCCAGGAAAATTGACGGTCGCGGGGGTACGGACCCTGGTATGGGTACACTAGCACGTGCATGCCGCTTATGCTGGAAGTTACCATCGAGGCAAACCACAATGTGAGGCTCCTCTGGCCTAACGTTGCCGACTGGTGGTCCAAAACAGTTTGGACAGTTCGCGGCCAACTTGTCAAGCTCTGACAGTCTAAGTTTTTGAGCTTCCAACTCTCGAATTTGCAAAAGTATAGCTCGATAGGTATCTATGGCCACTGTGAAAGGGGCACGCCAATCCCGAGGCTATGCAACTGCATCCATCAGTGTCCATCAAACTGTTCACATATCCCATTGTTTCGTGCTTACCTCACCATTAGGGGTAAGTATCTCGGGACTGCCGTTGTTAAGCACATCATTTAGTGCTAAACAGTAAGCATCGGTGGGAACAGCTAAACAAATCGACTGTGAGTGATGGTGAACCATGAGTCGCACTGAGAAGGCGGTGCGCGGCTGAGACGGTGAAGCAGCCAGGTATCCCATCTGCAACAACCTTTGAGGGTCAGAAAGATCGCATCTCTTGCAAAACGAAATCTTCTTTCGCACTCTGGCTATGTTTGGAGGTGTGAAGCATTAGTATATAGTATATAATATGATGAAATTATCAAGTATATTATATAATTAATTACACAACCTACATACTAGGTCCACAAGGTCAACGTCTTGCTCCGTCCTCACGGAGCAGTTGCAGGGCTCTTGTAAGTCTTCATTCCAATTGATTTCGTTTCCCCAATTCGATGTTTCCAACCGTCTCCTAAGGAAGGTGGGTAACATAATGGCGTATTGCCAAAGCCATTTCTTCTTGTTGGCGAGGCGGTCCGCTAAGTGCATTTCTCGTCGTAAATGTGCCATTATTGGGTCGTCTGCATTTTGATCGTTCTCAGGACCACCTTCTTCTAGCATGGGCATGAAGCGATTCAAGTCCAAGTCCATCTCATCTTGGTCTTCGCCTGGATCATCACCAGGGTGATCTATTTCATTACGAGCCTCGGGTAAGTCGGGTAAGTTCTCAACGTCAACTTCACCTCTAGGCTTCTGAGCGTTGTCAATATGCCTGAGCCTTCTTACCAAGGTAGCATCTGATGCCTCAGCAAGCTCTAAATCACGTTTTCGGTTGAGTTCCAGTTGTTGCTGCAGGGGGGTTGTGGCCTTGGGTTGTTTAGGCCGATCATTCATGCCGCGAACGAGACGATGGCCCGGCATGATTCCTGGCGCATGGGATAATTAGTAAGCTTGTGCCACAACAGGTCTTTGGAGTCAAATGACGCTTATCTAACTGAAAAGCCCATCGTTTATTGGTGTGCGATACTTTAGCGCTTAGGCCTTTCGATTGTCCCCAACGGGAGCGAAATAGACGCTTGGCAGATAGATCAAACGTCAGCTGTTCAAACTATTGTAGTGACGTGTCGAGTGTTCCCAATCGGGAATAGAATAAGCTCACCATTGGTAATCCAGATACTTCCTTACGTTACGTAAATCGTATGGCCGCTGACCACCAATAGTTGCATCTTGCCTATGTCAAAGGAGAGAAATATACACAGTTGACGATCGAATGTTCGTGTATTTTCCTAATGCGGATTCAATTAATCTGTCCTGACAGTCGTAATATTTGAAGTAAATAAGTGACCGCTGACCACCAAAACGTTTGCGCGAGTTCAAAATGACGAGTGACCATCGTGGAGAGGTACGATTGAAGTATTGATCCTCTTTCTTTCGTTGAAATGGCCCTCCAGTAGCCTCGAAATTTGTGCGCCATTAAGGAAGTCAAGTAGTCGTCGTGTGTTTTAGCAGATGATATGGTTGGTGATTACAATCGTGTGTCGATAAAGATTTGAATACATGATTGTAATCACCATTTTCTACATATCACATGACAGATATTATCACCTAATGTCACATGAGCAGGAAAACAACCTTAGCGTTGTTTCCTCATTATTGATCACTTGCTTATATCAAAATGTGTGTGAACTTAAGAAAGAATGTAAATAATCATTCAACATTGTTTGAAAACCACCGGACGCACCCTTACGGGTGGAAATCAGCACTTCCAGTGCTTTGTTGTATGTTGAGTACTTAACTTCCCTGGTAGCATGCCACATTGTATTCAGTGGAGCAAGGGGAGCATTGCTACATTATAAACAAACCAGCAAACAACACATGAGGTGACACAAGCATGTCATATCAGCGGCATGGCACATCTAGCCAAAGATGTCCGTCTTTAGCAAATTTTCATCTTTGGCTTTTATCCCCTGGGAGTAACAGCTGTTCTGAGTGTTAAATATTCCTTTGAGCATTGATCAGTGCTGCACCCATCCGCTTTCAAGTGTTTAACTGACACCACACTTCATGAGTTGGTCGAGTCATTTTTTGGCACATACAGTCAAACATGACGTCTTTAGCTGATTTTCACCCTTTTAATTTTTCCCCTGGCAGGGACAGGCGTTACGAGTGTTGCAAATATTTCTTTGAGCAATGAATTAGTGCTACACCAAACCTCATTCAAGGTTTGAAGTGACACCCCACTCCTTGAGATGGTTGAGCCATGTTTTTGCACATATAGCCAAACATGCTGTGGTTGGGTACCTTCCCACCATAACTTTTTACCCCTGGGAGTAAGAGACTTTCTGAGTGTTGCAAGTGATACTTTGAGCATTGTTTAGTAATACACTAAACCACAATCAAGGGTTGAAGTGACACCACACTCTGTTAGTTGGTTGAGCCTTTGATTACACACAAAACATGGACGGGTTGGGTATTTTTCACCCATAACTTTTTATGCCTGGGTGATTTGGATGTTCTGAGTGCTGCAAGGGAGCCCTGGAGCATTGTTTAGTGCTACAACAAACCCCTTTCAAGGGTTGAAGTGACACCACACTCTGTTAGTTGGTTGAGCCTTTGATTACACACCAAACATGGACGGGTTGGGTATTTTTCCACCATAACTTTTTACGCCTGGGTGATATGGATGATCTGAGTGTTGCAAGTGATTCCTGGAGGTTTGTTGAGTGCTACAACAAACCCCTTTCAAGGGTTGAAGTGACACCACACTTCATGAGATGGTTGATGCATGTTTTTTGCACATATAGCCAAACATGCTGTGGTTGGGTATTTTTCCACCATAACTTTTTACGCCTGGGTGATATGGATGATCTGAGTGTTGCAAGTGATTCCTGGAGCTTTGGTGAGTGCTACAACAAACCCCTTTCAAGGGTTGAAGTGACACCACACTTCATGAGATGGTTGATGCATGTTTTTGCACATATAGCCAAACATGCTGTGGTTGGGTATTTTTCCACCATAACTTTTTACGCCTGGGTGATATGGATGATCTGAGTGTGGCAAGTGATTCCTGGAGCTTTGTTGAGTGCTACAACAAACCACTTTCAAGGGTTGAAGTGACACCACACTTCATGAGATGGTTGATGCATGTTTTTGCACATATAGTCAAACATGATGTCTTTAGCTAATTTTCACCCATATATTTTTTCCCCTGGTAGTACCAGCCGTTCTGAGTGTTGCAAATATTTCTGTGGGCAATGTTTAGTGCTACACCAAACCACATTCAAGGGTTGCAGTGACACCACACTTCATGAGATGGTTGAAGCATGTTTTTGCACATATAGCCAAACATGCTGTGGTTGGCTATTTTTCCACCATATAAACTTTTTACGCCTGGGTGATTTAGCTGGTCTGAGTGTGGCAAATGATTCCTGGAGCATTGTTTAGTGTTACACCAAACCACATTCAAGGGTTGCAGTGACACCACACATCAAGAGATGGTTGAGCCTTTGATTACGCACACAACATGCCGTGGTTGGGTATATCTCCCCCATAACTTTGTACGCCTGATATTTAAACCTTAACTTCTTAACCCTAACTTCTTCCACCTGTGTGTTTTGGCTTTTCTGATTATTGCAAACAATACTATGAGCATTTGTCAGTGCTCATCTTGGCCACCATGAATGATGGTTCTGGATTAACATTTTTTACGCCTGTGTGTTATAACTGGTCAGAGTGTTTCCAAACAATGTGAAGTGACTCAAGACTCAATGACTGGGTGATTTTGCACATATAGCTCATATTGGCCACCATGAATGATGTTTCTGGATTAACCTTTTTTACGCCTGGGTGTTATAAAAATCTTATCATGACTCTACACCCCTGACCCTTATAGGAACCAAAACCAGTTCAGCATTAACACTTAGTGAACCCCATTGGTTTCACAGCCGGTTGATGGAATATAGAACTTCTAAGACAATTGACTACATCAATATTGGATGTAATCAATTGTATGTTTTCAATCATTTGTATGGTTCGCAGTGTTATAAGTTTAAAACAATTTAGGCAAATTACAAATCAATAAACAAAATCTAATTATCAAAATAATAGAAGTTATCATATCTTCCAATTTCTATCTGGTAGCTCTAAGATATCCTCCACATCCCTTACTTTGCGTTCACAGTTTGAAGTATAATTGAACTGTTCATCCGTCCCATTCTTCACACTTGCACGTGCCATCTTGTAAGTGATTTGTGATGAACACCCAAGGCGGGTGTAATGTACTTTCTCACCTCGATTATTAAACACAATTCGTTCTTTGGAAGGGATAGTATGATGGAAGGTGGATTTGCCATTCCATGCAATCTGCACTGCTGACTTACCACCAAAGTTGATAGCCACACGGAACTCCGGGAAAATAAACCAACCACCTTCAAGCTCAAAACCTTCAGATTTCGTGACAATACGACCGCTTAAAACATCAATTGGGTACCATAGACAGTAAACCTTGCCCTTGTCGTTATCGGTATGCGGCTTGTTGTAAAAATTACCAAAGGTAAATGCAAAGTTCGCCGCGAAATCAAGTGGGCCGGACGGTTGAGACTTCGACCTTGATGCCATTTGAGGTGCACAGAGTTCGTTAAGTAGCCGACGAGCAACTTTGAAACCTACATCACAAAAGTCCATGAATCTTCCACCGATGTGAGAACTTAAGACGGGGAGCCTATCCAAAAACACCTCGTATAGTGAGCGTGAGGAACCTTTGGGTGGAACGTAAGGCGAGGTGAGGATATTGCTTGAATATCCCACTGTTTGACCAAAACAGTGCATTCTTCCATGAATTAAAGCGGCATTGGTTGTTACCTTGCGCTTCTTCAACCGCTTGCAATTCTGCACCAACAAAACAGATTGCCCAATCGATGCCTGATGCAAAATTTTGAACTTCTTGGTTTTCGAATCACTATCACGGGTTGAAAGAGGCTGTGCCTTGCGCTTCCTTGACGTTGCAACCTCTCCTTCTGCATCGGATGGCGGTAGAGAAGTTAGAGGGGATGATGACCGGTCCTTGATTACTGGATTGCCGGCTTGGGAAGCAAAATCCAATTGGCTATCCTTGAAATCTTCTTCACTTTCGGCATCGGATGAAGGAAGGGAAGTAAGAGGAGATGATGGAATATCGGAGTTGTGAGCTGATGTGGTATTCAAATGTTTCATAGCCGATGTATCCGAAGTAGGACTTCATTAGCAATCTTCACATCACCATTGGAGCTTGTAAGGAATCAAGATTTGAGCCTACCATGTGGAATAGAGGGATTTACAAGACTCGGCGGAGTCAAAGGTTTGGGAGTCGGTAAACGCTTAAAGAGCTTAGTCGACATTGATATAGTGGAAACATCATCTTGATGCACTTTGCGGTCCTCCGGGGTCAGCGTTTCCAAATCCTCGAAAGAGTACGTAAAGATAAGTTTGTGTGAATCTCGATCCACAAATTGACCTTTTCCGTGTGTAATAATTTTATAGGTATTATGAATGATTTCCATCGTACGATCATAGTTTTCATAAGGTAGGATAGGATCATTAAGCCTATAGCGGTGGCCATCGTATGTTTTATTTATGCGGTTAGCTGACTGAGCCGACTGATTGGTCCCTTTCGCTTTCATGTTCTGCACAGCCCGTGCGGCATGTCGACTAACACATTGGTAACACATACTTGACTCAATATTGTATATTGTGATCATTGAATGTAGGATGAGTAATTATACGTACGGTCCCTTTTTGCGTCTAGTTTTTACCAGGTGAAGAGTAGGGTTAGGAGGGACATCCACACGACCCAGTTCGCGGTACTTGTCAAGTGCTCTTCGCCTATGAAGAAGCCATACAGCAAGAGTTCAGCCACAGTTATTCGGAGGCTTCAACTGGTAAGAGTGCAGTTTGGCTTACACCACCCCTCCTTTGCCTTCGTTCGGATTATCCTTGCTGACTACAGCAAATTTGCACTCGGGATGAAGCCAATACTTAGACTTTGGGAAACCGTCCGGCGCCAGGTATTCATGAGGTACATGTGCATAGGATTTTGCCATTTGAAAGGGCTTTGGGAGCTATGAAGATGATCAGACGCAGAAAGGCAGTAAGTAACGATCTGGCCTGAGTAAGGTGGACACCACATTACTTACATCATCATCGGTGTAACCAGTCTGTCGCTTCTCATCGATAACCTTTAAAAGGTCCGACATGAATTCCACTCCAGGCAAGGTGATATTTTCGTCAGGACACTCGGCATTCCTGTGAACATTGGTCGAGGTGTCAACATGAGTTGACATCTGGCCATGAGAACGAAACCAATGACACCGAGCTACCCACTCTTTACCGCTATTAAATTCGCCCCTCTTATGCTTAGGCCATTCAGGGTCCAAGTTCGTCATTGTAGTTTCTTATTAAATTTTATCTGATCATATCGTATAATCATAGGTGATTAGCACAATGAAAAAAGAAAGGAATGGACGGAATAGGATGACACCAGTAAGTGGGAAGGCCAAGCGAGCAAGGAGTGGGTCAGTGGGGTTGCAGGTTGTATTTCAAGTTGGGCAGAGGCTATCTATGCCAACCTGCGCAACCCACTCCTTTGCTCATCGGTGTTGCATTACTTTGTGACGTTCAGATGGGAGGAAATTTAAGAAAATGAACAAATAGGAAAATAAAACATTACTGTTAATGATGTTGAACAGAACGTTTGACGAGCTAGCTCGTAAAAGGTGTCGTCTGCTACAAAAATATGAACACAGGAGGTTAGTACTGTAGAGCATTGCAGGTATTGATCCCAAAGGACATCGTGAAAGAGCAAACGATGACTTACTATCAAACGGCACAGCGGCGATCGACGGTTATGGTTCGAGGTGTTGTTCCGTCTGTTGCTCGTTGGGGTAGATGTATGTGCAGATCGTAGTATCTTATTGGAAATACGATATCTAAGGATATCGTATCATCATAGGTGATTAGTACATTGAAAAAGATATCGTATCATCATAGGTGATTAGTACATTGAAAAAGATATCGTATCATCATAGGTGATTAGTACATTGAAAAAAGAAAGGAATGGATGGAATAGAAAGACACCAGTAAGCAGGGAAGGCCAAACGAGCAAGGAGTGGGTCAGTGGGGTTGCAGGTTGTATTTCAAGTTGGGCAGAGGATATCTATGCCAAGCTGCGCAACCCACTCCTTTGCTCATCGGTGTTGCATTACTTTGTGACGTTCAGATGAGAGGAAATATAAGAAAATGAACAAATAGGAAAATAAAACATTACTGTTAATGATGTTGAACAGAACGTTTGACGAGCTAGCTCGTGATAGGCGTCGTCTGCTACAAAAAGATGAACACAGGAGGTTAGTACTGTAGAGCAATGCAGGTATTGATCCCAAAGTACATCATGGAAGACCAAACGATGACTTACTGTCTAACCGAACGGCGGCGATCGACGGTTATGGAACGAGGTGTGGTTCCGTATGTTGCTGGTTGGTTTGTGTAGTAGGTGCAGTTCGTATAGTTGAGGTTGCAATGAATCTATGAAACCGGTCCTTGAGGTGTAAGGGGCAAATATCGAGGGGCGAAATCACCTAATGCGTGTCGACTCTGAGGTGGGAGGAGGTTTTCCTTGAAATGGACATTCGGATTTTTCCTAGGATTAAGAGCGGTATGTACTTATTACTGGACCTTATGCGTACATTGCCTTAAGTAACATGTCACTCCGAGATACTGTGAATGCTACATTGGTACAACTTCATGTCAAGCCATACTTAACTGACATGTCACAATCACTGACATGTCAGTACATATCGATCAATTAAACGCTTTGGCCATGAACGGACATCTTGAGTGCGTCAAACTTGTAATGAGGCGAGATCATCTATCCAAACTCCTAATCAGTTTGGAAGAATGTGTTAATTGAACTCAAGTACACATTTGGAAAACTTTAAGAAAAATTATACAATCTTGTAATTTTTTTGTCTTTATTTGTTTGGCATTCAGACCAATAAGTTGAAGGAGTAGTGAAACCAAAGATAGAAAAGAAGATATGGGAATTCAGGAAACGCATGTAAGCAATCCACAATAATATGATTAGTTCTGCAAGCAACTTTCGAAAAGGGGTGGAGGATGGTGGGTCAGCGGGGCTGTAGAGACAGCCGCATAAAAGTGGCCGATCCATCACATCTGAATGATTTCCCTGTAAATAACATCATCTATGTGCGCTGATCAACAGCGGTTAGCTGCTCGAGGATTTGAGCATCAGCAAATCCAAAACTGGAGTTACTCTTTGAAGAATCGCCATCTTCTTCAGGTAAATCTGCATTTTTCTTGGAATTTTCTGAAGGTGAGTTACACTTTAAGGAGTCGGAATCGCAATTGCCATCAAGTTGCTTCTTATGTTGCTTGGGCTTCTCCGCGCTGACAATAGTGTAGTTTTTTGATTGAATGTCATCAATCCAGGCGTCTACTTTGTCATTTGTAAGACAGCTAGGCCCCTTGGAGATCATCAACTCGGTCACCTTGCTTTCGGAAGTACGACTAAAAGTAAGTGCCAAATCGCCTCGGTAAGTCTTTTTGGTGAAAGCTTCCCTCAAGTTTGGACACTTGGGGTGCGCGTCTCCTTTGCCCTGATACCCGTGCCTGAGGTGGGGAGCTAATATTCGAAAAGAGGTTGGTTAGCACCTTGAAACATGAAATCAAACAGATGGAGTATCACCTATCAAATCATTGTGGGCCTGCGATAGCTCCTTGCGCTTTTCGGCTTGTCGGGCGGCTGAGGCAGATTGGGGCTTGGGGTCATCATATTTCACACGGAGATGTTGTGGGGCCTTGGTCGCTTCAAAGGTGAATCGCTCCAAAAGGTGAGTTTTTTTCTGTAACCGAACCCATCTTTCACAGGAGGTGTACTCATCCTGGAGTAGGGCTTTAGAGGTTGAGCTGGCTGGGTTCCAACGCGCAACCATCAGGTGGAATTGTAAGTTGAAGTGAGTTTGCAATACGCAAAGCTAGAGGGATCAAGCTGCGTAAGTTTGTGATGATTGGCAGGAAGGAAAAGATACGTTATCAACTTGCCTGACGGGAAACCTTACCGATTTCATGCTTCATTAGCAGCTCGGATGACCGGTTACTTGACTTCCCGCTGTGTCTCCAAAGTCTGCCCTGGTGGAGGTCCTGTTTGACTTTCTTTAGGTCGACCAAACGCTCAAAGACTGGAACAAATTTATCGAGTTCTTCCTGGGTGAGTGGTTCAAGGCCAGAAGTTGAGGTACCTGTACGTGCGTCTTGACCAGCAATCGATGGAGTGATGCCAAGCGGGGTCAAGGTGAGTGCATACTCTTCACTGGTCGCTACACAGAGACGCTCAAAAACGCAAGGTGTAAATATTTCTTGTTCTTCGTCTACGTATGTTGACCACGTCAAGCCTACAGTGCGGTTGCGTTCACGGAAACCTTTCGAGACTCCCTTGGGTGGCACTAGGTTGGCAAGGGAAGTCTTGGTGAGTTAATAGTTGTGACTGTGGATTGGAACAATTTTTCAAAGTGACTTACTTAGGGTCGAGGTGGCAACGTTACTGTAAGTTTGATAATTCGTATACATATTGGGTTCGCGTGCTAGGGGGCCTTCCAATCTGGTAAGGCGTGAAAAGATGAATCAGATCATTGTAATGTTTAAAATTACACATCAAATCCTAAAATATACCATACTCACAGAGCTTCATCGATGACTTTTTGGCTGACTTTCAAGACGATGCAGAGCATTGTCTTGTCGATCTGGTATGACGATTGAAGGGATTGTGCCTCGTAAAGGCCTGTGCCTGATGGTCGGTTGTTCTTGGGAACATTGAGATTGGCGAGGTATTTTTCGGCTCAAGCCAAACCCCACTGCATGCCGAGTTCACAATAGTTACTCATATTTGGGGTAGGCTCGAATGTTGTATTGGTGTGCTCGTGGTTGGTATTGAATTCGTCATTATCTTCATCTTCATTGTCTTCATTGTCTTCGTCATCATCGAAGCGTGCTCGTTTCCTGGTGGGCTTCTTGTGGGCTTCTGGAGACTTAGTCTTGGCTGGTCTTCGTCGACGTGAGGTGGTAGTCCGTGTGGGTAAGCTGTCTCCGTGGTCAGATGATTCGGAAGGGGACGTTGAACGTCTTTGGCTCCTGCGGAGGCCGGATCGCATCATCGCTATTATTGAACTGGATTTGTTTGGATGAGGTCTTGAGTTAGTGCTTGGATTGTATAGGCCACATGAGGGAGAGAAATGTTGACTTACTGGGTGTTGAGAATAGGCCGCTTGAACGTTACTTGTGAATAGGCGGCTTAAACGATATTGATGGTGGTAAAGGTTCTCGTGGTAAAGGTTCTGGTGATTCTTGAAAGGAGCGAGTTGAACAAGTTGGAGTAGGTGATGGTGTTAGTTAAATTTACGTTACTCTACTGAGGTCGTGATGATGGTACTGACTTAGATAGATGGTATGATTTGGTCTTTGTTGAAGTATTGAGAGTTTGAGGTTTGAGTCTTGAATTATTGAGAGGTTGAGGTTTGAGTTGTAGAATATCAAGGTGAGGTTTGAAAGGTAGCAAGCGTCATCTAGTGGTAGTAGTAAGATTTGTGCTTTAGTAGTAATATGTACTTTGCTAGTGAGATTCGTACGTTAGTAGTGAGATTTGAACTTTAGTAGTGAGATTTGTGATTTGGTAGTGAGATTGTGTGCTTGAGTAGTAATTTACTTACTTTAGTAGTGAGATTTGTGATCTGGTAGTGAGATTTTGTGCTTGAGTAGTAATATATTTACTTGAGTAGTGAGATTTAGTCTTTGGGTAGTAAGATTTACCTTGGTGCGTGTGGGGGGGCCAAGGCCCCCCCCTTGTAGAAGTGGGACTTGAGGATAGTTCTAGGTTACCTTAGAACCACCTATCTTACTAACAAATTCTAAAGGGGGGTTTTCCAATTACATTGGTTGATACAGGTGTCAATATCAACCAATACACTTGGTGCTTTAGGGTGCACACAGGTGCTCATCAACCATTGTCAAGCTCCCATCAAATCACCATCTTATTCAATTGATCAGTTTGTAGAATGAGGAAAACTAATCCAACTAAACTAACATCAACAACAACACCAACAATCATCAAACCAATATCAATCTCAACTTCACCTAATTCACATACTTCATTTACTTCAACTTTATCATCATCATCATCTACAGATCAAGATCAAGATCAACATCAACATCACAATTAATTTGACTTACATCATCAAAATCAACCTACAACTACCAACAACAACTCATCTTGTTCATTACCACAATATATCTTTAGTATTAGTGATGAAGAACTCTCTGCTCAACATACTGTTAGCGTTGACCTCTCTCTGTAACCAAAAATGAGTATTCACCTTTATTCATTACCAGTTTGAAACCAAAATTGGCTATGAGAATTGGGGTTCAATTCGGTGTATCTCAACTAATCCTGCTTTAAATGATCAAAACAAAACCAAATCAAATAAACTTGAGCCTTTGAATTAGTTCATCGTGATTAAACTTCAAATACTACCAACGTTTGTGTTAAATGTTTATGGGGTGAAATTGAGTTGAGTTTTTCTTTCAACTTTTCTAGACCTTGATTGAACCGTTATGATATCTTTTGATCATCTTAACTGATTTTTTTGTTTTTCATCCACCACCGATTATTCTCAGGATTTTGAGTTTATTATCACTCCCTGTTAAAAAGTGATGTCCTTCAACTATTGAACATCAAATTGGCTCTTTCAATGGGATCGACTAAGTATCTGTAGCTCTCTTGGCTCAAAATGCTACTATTCAACATATCCGATCTAGGATTTGATGCTCAAATAGTCTCAGTCTCTTCTTTTTTGGCTTTCAGGAGCTCGATTCAAAGAAAGTGGCTAAATTGATGTCTGAGTCAAAGTCAATCATCAATATTTATGGCTTACAAACGCAACAGGCTGCTACAGGTTTGTCTTTCATCTTGTACTTCTATTTCAGTGATGTCTGTCTTAATAAAAAACCAGTCATATCTTTTGCGATGCAATCAATAACCTTACTGACTCACAGTTTTTGTTTTGTGAAACCACTCTTTTAAATCCAGTATAGCTTTAACAGATACATTTCTTACTCTCAACAGTATCACCTCTTGGTATTGCCTCTGCTACAATAGACCTTAGATCCAAGACTTTGACCATCACCTACATCCACTCACTTCTCCCCCTCCGAACAGCTACATTGATCGACGCGACTGCCCAACAACTAGGAATCTCTAGATATTTAAGTCAATATCCTGTGAAAGCTATCAAATGAATCAATCGAGATCATTGATCTATGTATCAATCGAGTTGAGTCTTTTAGATCTCTTCTTGATAAAAGGTTGAATTCAAAAGCCATCTAACTTTCCAGAATCTGATCTTTCTACAGATGTGTCCAGATTACAATCGCATTGAACTTGGACTTTGTGAATCGATCTCAATCAAAGCTATTGAATGTTCAATGTTTAGAACACCTATGTACTCAAGCGAAATCCAATATCAAGGAAGTAGGGGATATAGGTTTAATGGCAAAAATAGTCAATCTTCCCAAAAAGTAACGTTTAAACCAAATTTCTTTATCACTGCTAACAGTGTATATCAAGATTTTAACACCATAGCTATTACTTCAAGAAATTCAGGTCTGTCATTTCTTTCTTTTCTTTCGGGAGTTTTCTGAATACACATCTGATGTTTTTTTCTCCTTTTTGTTGTTTTCATCTCAGGGAATTATTACTATGGTGTCAACAGCTTATCAACATATAGAAGCTAAATATATCATTGGGTTACTTGAAAATAAATATACAAGAGCTTTAGCTGAACAAACAGTTTAGCAGTGTTAGCTACCGTACTGGTACCTACAGGTAGGTGCTGGTAAGTTTATCACAGATTTAGAATTTTTTTCAAAAGGCAAATGGTAGATCAACTGATTCAGACTGATACTTCTTTAACTGATTGATGTAGGTACTTCAAACCCAACCAATTGGAAATCAATAGAAACTCTCAACAAATGCTAGAAGGAGTCAAGTTAATTAAATCAGTTTCTTCAGAAATTCCATCTTATGGTGGATTTTGTTGCCCCTGCAGTATTGAAAGGAGGGATAAAAGGCTTGAAAAGGAATTGTAAATTAACACCTGCTTTACAAAACCTATGTTATTTGAACGTTCTAAATCAACTTCAGATGTTTTGAAGGTCAACTGTTTACTTGTAAATATGAATATGATTGGGAAACAGCTCAGGTTAGTGATTTTATCTTTTGATTTTCTTTGCTTTGGTTGATACTGAGTCTATTAAATAATTATTGTTTCTATCCTTTGAACAGATTCATTATTTAGTAGATGTAACAATGATTAAATCTAGTAGGAATTCAGAAAACATGGGCAAAAGGTATCCTGATGTGTTAGATGAAAATGAAAACACATATCAAAAAAGAAATCATTGAATAATTTGTATTCAATTCAGAAGTAATTCCATGGTATTGGATGGAGTTGAATGGAATAAAACAAAATCCAATGAAATTGATTGAAATCAGATCAAGCAAAATCATATTGGATAGTTTTGAGTTGGATAAAATCCCATCAAATTGTACCAAGTTGAATTTGATATGCCAAATTAGAGAGTATGCTCAAGCTTATTATACTTTCAATGTAAACAGCAAAATTATATCCATTTCACATTCAGATATTAGTCTATTTCAAGCTTATCAAAAAAGGCAACAGAACACTTGTCAACTTTAGAATTCAATCCAATCCTTTGAATTAATCCCACTTCAACTTCAATCATCAACTATTATCAAGAAAGCACTTTGGATCCAATCACAGAAAACTTGATGAACTATTCAAATAAGAACAATCATTCAGCTTTCAAAGAACTTCAGTCAAAAAACCCTCATACAGCCATTGATTCAAACACTGAACATAAAATACCAATCTTGATTGCACAAAGCAGGCTAGGCAGCAAGTTTCCAATTGACTGGGTTTGCACAAACCGGATCACTGAGTTATCATCCAGGCAAGTAGTCTTTTTGCATGGGAGGAGGATTGATGTGAATTGGTATTGCGTTGTCATCAGATTTTTGGAAGTGTGCGGCTTAAGTGCGGGTCTGAGTTATATTGGTAACTGAGGAGCTGAGTGATTCTGGTGCCCAACAGAGCATGGCAGCGGAATCATGTCAGCTTGGCTTACACCCAGGGTGCGGGTATATCAATGTGAAATGTAATGAGTTTTGTGTGGCTGTTCCTGCAATGTAGAGTAGAAAGCCAAGGTCATGGCACTGATACTATGAACACCAAGATGGTGTCATGAATGTTCCACTGGCAGAAGAGATGATTTGCCTGTTGCATTGCGCAAGGCCGTCACAAGGGCACAGGTTTTACTCTGCAAGGAGCTAAGAATAGCGTCAGGTGTCATCTCAGTGAGCTGGGGTTCAAGGCCTTGACTTGTAAAAGGAAAATCATGTGACATAGAATCAGGAATGAAGGGGGAGATCTCAAGAGTGAAAGAGGAGAAATAACAAAATCGATGTGATGTTCATGAGCGCAGATAATCTGATGTAACTTATTAAGGCGGCGCCCGCCGCTGATTTTGCTAGTAAACCCATAAACCAACACCTGAGTTTTCAAACCAAGAGTCTGAAATTTGATATACAAAATATCAGACCTCACACCTCATCACATCTCCAAAAAATCTCATTCATCACATAATCAATTTAAACTGGTGAAATTAAAATTTCAAATCCAAGTCACCCACCCAGCTGGGCGGAGGATCAGCATGAAGTCATTGGTAATTATACCGTGACACAAAAGTGAGCTGATCCCCTTCCCGGGATCCCCCAAATACACTGCTACCTCAGCCGTGATTACAGGCCAAGGTAGAAGTTCAGGAGGAATATATTTTTGCAAATCAGATATATTAATTTATGTATATTTAAAGTTTGTTAAGCTTTAATATGCACATGATAAATATTCTTACCAAGAAGTAAGAAACTCACAGAATGGATGCTAATTCCTGTAAGTGATGGAAGAGACAAACTTCCACAGATTTTAGTCTTTGTAATTCTGATTAATTTGATACAAGGTCAACCTATGCCAAGCAATTCTGTGTCTCTTGGTAAAATCCATGAACCTCTCCCTACTCATTTCTGAGATTGAAAAATTTATGTTGACTATGATTTCCACTTCTATAAATTCCTCATTCCATTCTCATGTAGGGTAGAGTCAAGGAGGTGTGTATGTGAGGCTTAGGTGAAACCTAAAGATACTCTTATGTAAAGTTCTCTCTTCTCGAGAGAGCTTTATGTTGTCATTACTCAACAGGTCTAATCTACCACAGTAGAACTTAATTCTATAGGTAATAAGTTTCTCGACTTCTTTGGCTCATAGTTCCACCATTCGCAATGCTTTCAGGAGGCCTTTCACCGCAGCATCTGAGTCCGACGGGAATCTCTTTTGGTGAAAAAGATGCCATGCTCTAATGCCCGCAAGGTATGATTTCATTGTCGAGGACTTGACCGACTCGTCCTCTTTTGCTAGATTATCACCTTTCTTGGAGCCCCGTACAATGAAGTGTAGGAGTGTATCTGTCGAGATTGGTAAGAGCTTGTTTCTCGGTGCGTTTTTGACTTCAGCAAACCGCATTAGTTTCACAATCCCTGAATTGTAATGCTTAAGAGTTCCATCTTTCCACGCCCCTCTTAGGAAGTGTTTCTGCACTTTGTTTGTATCCGAGATATCCACTCCCAAGGCATTCTTTTTGAAGACTCCAAAGGGTTTGGTCATCTTTCTTAGCTCTTTATCGGACTTTGATTCAATAAGAGGAGTTTTTGACTTTGTTTTTGATTTTCTCTTCGTCATTTGCTAAGAATTATGGGGGATTGATTTAAAAGAATAGAATGAGGTACACGGCTATGTACAATCATATGGATAATGGAAAACAACAATCTAACAAAAGGCCACCTTGGAATTATTAAACGTTCATCTCCGTTGGCGGAGTAACTTGTGAAAAGAAAGGTTTCAAGTCTCTTGGCACATCAACTAGCACCTCCTTCCACCATTGCAGGCCTGTCGCTTTACCACGGGACAAGCCATCCGCATCATTGTTCTTAGAGGTAACTCGTTTCTCCTTGATGTTACACCCCAAAACCGAAAGAAGACACTGAATTTCTTTCCACTCATTATTCACTCTTTTGTCCTTACACTTCCTCTTGCGGATAGTGTGTTCCGTGGTAGTATTGTCAATTTCAACCCAGAACGATCTTCCCCTCACGCTTGTAACCTTACTCAGGACTAATAGACCAAGTCTTACCGCTATAGTCTCCGCCCAGGCGATTGAGCGTTTTTCTTTTTGCAGGCCTAGGACCTTCCAGTCTTCTGAAAACTTGAAACAAGCCCAAAATTGGCCTACCAGGATTCCCACCCTAACGCCCGAAGAAGAGTTCCCAATCAGTCAATCGTGAAAATTAAACCGATCAGGTCAATGGTCACTGAAAGAGACTCAGGTGGTCCACTCACCCAAATGAGGACGAGGCATTGCCCACCCATTTGACACATTCTGTCCGGGGGTCTTTGACCAGATGGAGGCATTTGAATTCTTGTAGGCAGAACTTCCATTCTTTGAGATCTTCTATCACGTCCTCTGGCGTCTTTCTCATCACTCTTTTTTTCTTCCAACTCTTTAGCCAGCGGTAAAAAGATCGGAGGTATGCCGCCATGTGCGGGACCACGTTGATCGTGTGGCACAATTGACCAACCAGTACGTCGACCTGTTCGTACTTCCATTTGGCTCCTGGTTGGAGAAATTCCTCCACTTGCTCCCTCCTTTGCTTCAGTTTGTCGTCTGGTAGTCGTACCGTGTGTCTCACTCCATCCCAAACAAAACCTAGATAACGCTGACTCTCCGTAAATTCTTTGTTTTTCTCTGGGTTGGTTTTCACCCCCATTTTATTACTCAGATCTACGATATCTTTCAAGACAATCTTCAAGTCCGGTCTCTTGAATAGGAGGTTATCATCTACCCACCTGAAAATCATCGGTAAGTTCAATATTTTCTTTACCACCTCCTTCCACACTTCCGCCGGTCCTCCGAACACCCCACAACTGGCCACCCCTCCGAATCCGACTACTAAATCAATCCAAACCCTTCCATAGAAATCCATAATACATAGAAAGTGTCTTTGACTTGGGTGTACCCAGAGCTGACAATAAGCTTTTGCCCAGTCAACTAAGGCCATGTACCATGTTCCTGGGTTTGCTCTGAAGAAATCTGCCACCGTTTTAAAATCATCCCATTGTGTCACATAATTATGTTTATCGACGAAGGAGTTTACTGAAGCGATATCCGGGTCATCTTGTGGGTGAGAAAGGTTGTTGATGAGCCGAACCGAGCCGTCCCCGTTAATTGCGCTGCCCATAGGATTTGATCTAAAGAAGCCAAGTTTGTCGTAGACTTCCTGGTGCGTGAATGGCCCTAGTATCCTCCCTTCCTTCCGCTCTTTTGCTAACGTCTTCTCTATCTGATCTTTCACTAATAGTGCTGAGGAGTGGTTTTTGAAGGTGTACCATTTCTTCTCTCCTAGCGAATGTTGAGGAATGCCAAGACAGAAACCCTCTGTGAAACCGTCAACAATGTACACTGACAGCATTAAATAGGTTCCCTGGTTGGAACATGACCTAGGCTGGGAATATCATTGAAAGAAGAGTGGAGAATCAAATCATCTTGCACTGCACATCTGAGCCATAAAGTAAATCCTTAGCTATCAGCTACATACAGGTCCGCTCAGTTATCTGCTCATCTAGATAAGAAAATCATGTGTAATACATGCTGTAACTTTGTTCAGATTGAGACGCACATTCCAAAATATTGACTACATATATCACAATGGCTACTCAAGAAATGTTCATGGAACTGTGTAACAGTAGCAGAATGGGAATCTGCTCACTAGGACCCGTATTCCCATCTGGGAACCTCTTTAATGCTGGCAGTGGTAAGGTATCTCGTCTTCCAGGCCTACCATCTTCATCAGTCTGGTCCACTCAACTAGGTTCATGTCGCATCTCACTCTTCCAGGCCAATGAGTTGTCACTTCCGTCTTATAGATCTTCCTTTTATGGAGGGGGAGAATCTTTTTATACCCTGTAACCTCCTCTTCTGACAGCGAATCCGGTGAGTCTTCCTCCGAGGCCTTGTCTAGCATGTCTTCTGAACCGTGTTCTGTGTCTAGTTCAATTGGCACTGGTAAAGGCCTAAGGGCAGCTCTCTTAGTCAGGGGTTCAGCCTCTACGTTGTTGTGCGCACTCAATGATCTTGTGGCATCTTGTTTCAATGCAATTGGGACATCACGACTGTTCTCCTAGATCATGAATAATAGAGGGGGGGGCACAATTTCCAAAAAGGTAATTCATTTCAAGGTTCAAATATTGTTCACTCGGAGACTAAAGTGGGCATAAAACCTCTAGACAATCTAATCCACGTGGTACCCACCATTAAATTCAATTAAGAATAAACTGACCCCCAGAGAACGCACATGAGGAGCAGCATCCAAGTAGTACCCACGAACGCCGGTTGGCATTGTCGGGATGAAGGTCAACCAAAGGGGAATTTCCCGGAGTGGGAACGGATGGGATAGAGGAAAATTTGACGTAGGAGCACACGGGGTAGAGGGGGAAGTCAATCGTAAGTAAATTACTCCATAGCCACCCGCCTTCCCATTTAGACCGTGCTTACCAATTGTTTCTTTCCCATTTTTTTTGCCTTTACCCTGGTTCCTACCACTTCTGTACGAAGCCCCTGCTTGTTTATTCACGTGCTGTTGTCCTTGAGCTAGCCAGCCCTGGGTCGAGGAACCAGTAAAATTAGGTTGCGCTACGTGATTCAAAGGACCAGCATAATTGGAATGGCCAGAAAAATTCGAAGGACTCGCTTGGATCCAAGGGCCCGTAGCATAGCTGGGGGCAAAGGGTTGTGGGACATAAGGTACGTTTGGGATTTCAGCTAGACTTGGACCTCTGCCCCGATTCCCCCCCCTTTGTCTCTTCTGACCCCAGCCTCTGCTATTATCTCCTCCGTAACCCTTCCCCTTCCAGGACCAGTCGTCTTTTGGCTTAGGTGGTTCCACTGGTTGGCCTGTCCTAAAGTCGTGTCCAAACTTAGGTTGCCCAGGGGTGTACGGGCTCTCTTCATACATAAGATCTCGTGCAGAATCCGCCTCCCATCTCGCTACCATAGCCGCTTCCTCCTGTAAACCTTCCGGTAAGACCACATTCTCTACCTTCTTCCCCTTCTTTCCTTTCTTCTTCTTATGATAGATCACTCCTGATCGGTTCCTGCAGATCACACTCCTAATCGCTAAGTGATATCTAAGTCCTACCATCCAGCATTTGTGTTTAATCATAAGGTTACTGACTGTCGCTTTGTGCTCTGAGATGTAAGCCGCATAGGCCTTGTGGCGGTACAGTTTGTTTGCGTATCTTGCTTCTAGGTCGCATTCAAGTATGAATTCGCCATAACCCATCCTACGTTCCAGTTCGACTTCTGAAGTCTCCGGCCATGGACCATTCCTCTTCTTCGAGTTGAAAGCTCCCGCTGCATGATGAGCTTTGATGTATGAGCGCTTGAATACAGACAGGGGTACATAGCGATTCATCTTCTTGAAGGCCTTCTGCCATTTCTCTGGCAAGTTCAGAAGATCAAACGTTGATGCCTTCATTCTCTTGAACTTCAGACCTGAGTCTGAGTCTGAGCTAATGCTGCTAGAAGAGCTACAGGAACTATCTGAGGAGTCACCTGATGACGAAGAGGATGACGATGAAGAGGAGTTACTCGAAGAGGACAATGAGGAGTCACTCCCAGTTCCATCTGCTCCGGAACTCAAGCTAGAGGAATCCGAGGAGGGGGAAACTGCGCTGCTTGGTGAGGAAGAATGTAAATTTCTTTTTTCCAGTCTTTGTTTCTTTTTGGATTTTGCAGAGGATTTATTTCTCGTTTTCCCTTTCCCTTTGGGTTTGCTTGACTTCTCTCCTTTCTTTCTCTTCTTCTCCTTCGACTTTCCTTCTTTTACTCTATCCTCCTTTGCCAAAACCTCTACCAGTCTATCTCTCAATAGCTTAACAGAATTGATATCTTCTGCTTTGATAGCGTTCGCCAGTCTATCCAAGATTGCTTCGCTCCCTTCATCAGTGGCTTGCAGGGCGGGTATCTGGGTCTGGGAGGGCTTACCTTCAGGCTTAGGGACTGGGTAAGGATGTACAAATTGAATGGGAATAATCAGTACGCCTGTTTTAGTCTGATCTCCATGAATGGTACAAAGATGTTGAATAGACAAGTATAAACCAGATTCAGGTCTCTGTATCACTTCTCGTGTCTTACAAGGGATAACATCAAGGTAGGATTTTTAATCTTTAATCTTTTTAGAGCTTCGACAATAATGCATTGGAGCTGATACCAGTCATTGGCCCTGAGTTCCTGCAGAGGTCGTCTGGGGTAAACCCGCTGGAATATATCATGATTCCCTCAAGGTTGTCTCTGCTACAACAGTAAAGTACTGCTATGAACTACTCCTGATCGCTGATCTTGGAGAGTATGAAAGTAGGGTGGGGAAAGGAGAGCGAGATGGATGGGGAAAGTTAGGTGTCCACCATCTAGAGGTTTTGAAAATGTATGTATTTACCAAAGTTATTTTCAATCAACCCCATTAACTCCTCCGCCTCTAATTCACCATTCCCGTATACCAAAGATGATACCAAGATTGATGTCTCCTTCTCCTTGCCTTTCTTTGCTTTCTTCAATCCTTTCTTCTTCTTCCTCCCTCTTACCTTCTCCTTGGACCTATCTCTTTCCTCGGTCTCGGACGACTTGCTGTCACCTTCTGACCCATCCGAATTGGATTTGGAATCCACTAAATCCTCCATTCTGACTGCCTTCGATTGGCTCAAACTAGTCAACGGTTGGGTGTTTGTAGTTATGGTGAACCTTGGAACTTGTTGAGAAAGGTTGTCTCCTTCTTGCGTCTGGTGCCCTACTTGAGGTGATCAGGACTCGCTCTCTTCGTTCTCTCTTCTGCTTGTGCTTTCTCCTTCAGGAACTTTGCTAATTTCGCCTCTTCTGCCAACTTTGCTGCTTGAATCATTGGGTGATTGTGGTATTTTATTAAGAATGATTTTCTAGCTAATTGTCTCCACATTTAATAGTCTATGTGATGAATACAATGAAACATGTTTTTTCTTTTTAAAAGAAACTAAATATGAGCTAAAAGAGAATGTGAGAGAGCAAAAAGAAGAGCTTGACGAATTCTCGAGTGCAGTCAAAAAGGGCACAGGGAAGTGAGTAGGAGAAGTGGTAAAAACTTTCCACTTCTTCTGAGGCGTCCCTCCTCAGCTGACATCTGGCTACCACTCTCCACCTGTCATGCCCGTGAAACTTCAATCTGCACCCGTGAATTCTCTCCCCTACTAAATGGACTACCCTGTACCTCCGCGAGCTCTGGGAACATGTACAATGTTTGTACTTTCATAGCAGATGTACTGTAACTGTGAGACCTTGATTTGCACAGTCAACTTTGTGCTTTGCGGTCAGGTTGTGATTGATACCATGTAGTAGCTGAGAGCTGGTATTATGAAACATTGAGTATGAGTATTTTCAACTGAATCAATAACCCAGTTGGCATGGACTAGGATCCTCAATAAAATACCCCAGTTATTTTACTGATGGAATATGCTTGAGATATGCCAATTGATGAGGAATTGTTATCTATTAGGTTAGGCGTTTGGGCTTAGGTCAGGATATATGGTAAGGCACTTTTCAGCACAAGTGTACACATGCTCACTTTGGGACTCATTCATCAATTCTCCTCCAGCTACAACACTGTCTTTTGTTGTTTGCAGTGACTGTGCATGACTACAAGAATGTAATCCAATGCCACAGCCTTAAAGCACAACAGGGCATTTTCAAAGGTGATACACATGAGGAATGTCATTTATGCTTCATGCTAGAGATATGTATCAACATTGAAATTGGCGATCCAAATAGAATCCCCCAAACAGAATACTTAAACTATTGTGATATGTCCAGTAAAATCCTAAATAACTACTTGGATCATCCATGATATCATCAGCAACCATTCCTGTGTTGTTGGCCAGACCTTGTCAGAAGTCCATATTTTACATCAAATCAATAGCCACACCATTGTTTTTTTGTGAAAGGATTTTATATCAATGTAGCTTTGCTTTGTAGATGTGGTCAATCCTTCCATACATGCCTGGATTTGGATTAATGAATCACAGATACACACTTTGGAATCTTCTGAGATGATGTAGCAACCCTGAGGAGCTGTACCCAATAACATCCTTTGCTCTTGAATATTGTCCGACTCTGAGTTTACCATAACTCTGGAAGCCCATGGAGGCAGCTATAGATAGTGTTCCAGCATGTCAAGATTAGAACAAGTGCAACATAAATTAGCAGTGTGGAACCCACAGCCCAATTGTGCCATAGTATCACAAAGACCTTTCTACGGTCAAGGGGATATTGAATAAAATGAACAACAACTGCTTCCTCCTGGAGCTCATTGATTCAAAGTTGTCAAATTCAAAGGTCTGTTTTGTTTTGTTTTTACTGTGGTTTCTGAAAGTCTTACTTACACAAAAAAGTGACTTCACATCACACTCTTTCTTTTATTCATTAATCTGATTGTAACTATTCTGGAAATCACAGCACTCCAGACCAATTGTTATTGTCCTGTCTCAAACTTTGATCTCTCTTTGTCAACCCATGAACTTCAAGATTTTCACAGAAGGCAAAGACAAGATCATATTTACCAAAATCACTGTGTGTTTTATCATCATTATATTCAAATCACAACCCTTCATTAGATTGGTTGGTCCATGTGCTACATTGTTTCAAGCATTCAAATGAAATGAAAAAAGGAATTCCCAGCCAAAAATTACAGTCAATTGAAATCAAACAAAATTATCAAAGGCATAAAGAAAGCAGTAGCAACGTATTTTGATCTATGAGGATTGGAATCATGAACCTCACATAGAATAGATAAAAAACCCTCTGTTTGTGATTTTGAAGTCCATGTTTTTGGTTCTGTGTATTTGAGTGAACAAGATTGATGTCTGTCTTTGATCTCATGTGGCAGTTAATTTGATCACACAAACAGCCAGAATTAGAAATATTGAACTCTAACACAATCCAGAGAGTATTTTGTGATGAGTCAAAGTAGAGCCTCACAGAAACTAATGATGGTCACATGGGGTTTTCATATCTCTTCACTTATGGATCAGAATAATCTATTGAGATTGACTGTGTTTCCATTCTGGGTAAATTCTTTGTAGTTGCAATGAATTCAAGATATGATACACAATCAACCAGAAATGAACAAATTATTGAACCAATATATTACCATTGCCCTATTTATTCAAATTTGGATTCCAAAGATCTATTATGAAACAAAAATGTAGAAGAATTTGATTTTAAAAAAATCATTATAAGCAGAGATAGAAGGCATTCTATCACAAGAGATGCTACTACACTACGGCAACAACGAGTTCAAAACCCAATTGAACCAAATTTTGGTGTCTGGGTTCCAAATTTCCTTGCATTGTGAATTTTGTTTGCAATGCATTTGCAATACATTTGCAAATTTGCCTCATGTGGTACTCTGTTGGCCCCGTGTATACAGCTCCATCATACAACCCCAATTACAACCATCCAACCATCTTTCCTTTTTCATGCATCCTCAGTCTTGATCCTCTATACATTGGTGAATCTGTGGTGACTAATGTTGAAAGGAGTTGCTGTTGTATGATGTAGCTGTACATACACAGAGCCAGCAGAGTACCACTCAAGGAAGATTGGCAAACATGTTGCACACAAGTTGTCAGCAAAATCCACAATTTGAAGAAATTTTGAACCTGGACACCAAAATTTGGCTCAATTAGGTTTTGAACTGAATGATTCCCGCAGAGCAATATAGATTTTGAACTCATAATTTTGAGGAATTTTTTTCAATAATGATTAGTTGTAAGCTTAAAATTTGACAGGTCTACTATTGAAATTCACATCCGTGGTTCCCTCAAGTCTTTTCCTCATCTCTGTGTGATATAATTTTTCTCATGATTTGGATTCATTTTATCACTTTTTTCAAATTACATGTTGAAAGAACTGTACCTTCCAATAGGGTTTTATCTTTCTTGCTTTAGTGATGCTTGAAGTAGCATAGGC